AATGACGGGCTCTAAACGGAGGCAGAAGAAGCACGAAGAGGCGCGGAGCCCATCGCATAAACAGTCAAGCAGCTCGAGCAAAAACTCGTGTTGGGTTAGTTGTCAGCCTCCAAGGTTAGCATATTTTGTTAGCTGTTAAGAAATTAGTATTCAGAGAAAAGAATAGCTAAACAGAACGCACCAAGCATTTCTGGCTCGATGATTCGTCCGACCGATTTCGCCCTCCTCGGTGTCACCTCGCATTCATAGCGAGAAGGAGGAAGGGCGGTGAACGGGCGGTGAACGTCAACGGGGTCAGTGGACCTGAAAATCGGCGTTTTTCCGGACTAAATCTCGGAGCGGACTCAGTGAGCTGAGCTAAGAACAAAAAACACCAAAGGGCCATCAGAAAAAGAATTGGGTTCCCTGAAAGGGTAAAAAACCTACGGCTTATCGTGGGTGCGGGCGATTCTTCACGAATACGATGTCGCAGAATGGAGCTCTCTGAAAACTCGAAATCAGTGAGCATTTCAAACCCTCTTGGTTCTTGAGCTAAATTGAGTAAAGTGTGGGTAAGAGAGATGTGTTCAAGTAGGTAAGAGAGATACTTAAATCAGAGCTGAAGGGACCGAGGTAGACGCGGAATCGTTTCCAAGAAATTCGGGGGAACAACCCGCGACACCGCCCTACTAATCAATTCCAACGCAGCGTATAATTGTTTTATCGGCCTCCTGGAAGACGGGACTAAAAATTTTGCCCAGGGGAGGGTCATTGTCCTTGAGTGGGCCGTATCAACCAGTATTTAGGTCGTTTCACCCGGAAAATTACAGCCATCCACCGCAGTACATTTTTGAATCAATATTTCGGCACAAGTGAGCATTTCCGGTCACTTATTCACTCAAAGTACAAACAAACCAATTGTTCGCCTCAGCTACTCGTAGCTCAACTAGGAAAACCATGCTCATTCCTAGAAGATTGCTTTTCCAAGAACTCGAAATGGCGAACCCGCGGAAGCCCCCTACGAAGGTATTTTTGCAGACACGCGGTGCTGCTGAGTCGGGGGAACGCTTGAAAAATTGGCACCTAGTTAGCTAGCCATTGAAAAGGGTCCCACTCAATCATAATTCCTGGAGCCTGGAGGAAAAGGACGCGCGCGCGAGAAATCTCAACGAGGGAGCCGTGCGATGGTGAGAGTGGCCTTGCATTCCCCGCCATCCGCTCTGCCGCCGCTTCTCCTGGTTCCCCTAACCTGTGGCTCTGTTTGCTTATGCTGTCCCCGGTAGCAAAGCGCACTACGCAACGGCGCGGCCAACACACACTCCAAGCACTATTTATAATCGGCCACAGCATGATTCGTCAAACATCCGCACTCATCTTACTGCTGAGTGCTGCTGCTATCACTCGTTTCCTTATCATCGCCACTCCAGATTTAGCCTTCCCATGAAGCGAGACAAAGAACGTGGCATTGCTGAAAGGATGAGTTCGAAGGTAATAGCCGAATAAAAATCGAGATTTCAAGTTCAGGTAAGGAGGTGAAACAACGGAAGGAATAGTGTGGGAAAACTCTGGCGCCGGAGTGCGACGGAATTTCATCCAGAGTTGAAGAAAAAACGAGAAAAAAAGAAAAAAGTAAGCAAGGGAAAGAAAAGAGAGATATCTGAGTGATATTGTCATTTTTAAGCCTGTCGCTTCACCAGCACTTCTACTTTTACTTACCCAACTTTCAACAATTAAACTAAATCTCCTACGTAAAAAAGCGAAATTCAGAAACATATAAATGAAAAAAAGATCACGCAGGAGATCGATCTTGTGCATTTTCGTTTGAACACTGTCTATAACCAGTAGCGAGCATCTGCCGGCGTAGTGCGTGGAGGATGCGGCGTGAGCGAATTTTGTCGTACATTTGGCTCGGTCGGCGCCGGCTTCGATGGGAACCGAGGAGGCGGGCAATTCCGAACCTCTCGGCAGACTTCCCTGGTTCGTTTGTCGCCCACCTTCTGAACCCATAGGGGCAATCGAAGGCATCGCCTCTTGGGTCGACCGTGACCAATTCTCAGTGCTCGAAATCGTGTCAAATTTGTGATCAGAAAAGGATTGCTCTGTCCTGGGAGTACGATCCTGCGGTGTCTGCTGCAGGGCACCATCGCCATCGTAACCACTATCACTTGTGACGTTAGAAGCTGGAGGCGTTTTCGAGAAGGAAGCAAGCGCTTCGGTCAGGCTGCTTGTAAGATCTTGAACGGCTGCCGTTGAGAGAATCTCCGGGTTTGGTGAAGCTGAGTAGGAGAATGGTGCTGGGCTTCGAGACTTGAGCAAATCAGGCATTCTGCAACGAATTCTTATCAGTTTGGGCGGAGCCGTATGATAAACACGTAGCAAAGGTGAAAAGTCAACACGGGCCGTGAGCGACACATTTATGACTATTGATGGCCAAACAACAGCTCCTGTTTAATCGCATGACGTGTTCCGGATCTGGTATGAGTAAGGCAATCCGCTCGGACACGTGCAAAAAACCTTCTTCTCAAAGTTGCTGCTCAATTTCAGCCAACTTTCTGAGCAAAAGATAAAAGCTGTCAAAAATGTGCAGATTTGTTTATAAGTGGGTCCTTCCTTTTCAGCCCCTTATACCAGTAGTTACTAAATAATACACTAGCGGTCAAAAGTGGTCGCCGAAACGATTTTCAGTGAAAGTGCCATGGAAAGCATGCAAAAAGAATTACCTGTTTTCTGTAAAACTGCTCTTAAGTTCATCTTTCACAGGAGTAACAGGCGACTTCATCTGCTCACTTCCGTGTCGATCTTTCTCAGCAGGAGCAGCAGCCGCCTGGAAGACTGTTTCAAAGCTCTTCTCAGTGAATGGAGCAGTTCGGTAGGGCGGCGGTGTCGTTGATGGTAGTTCGTGAGTAGAAGAAGAAGGTCTCGACGCTTCAACTTCATCCGGTAACCGATTGCCGTTCTCGTTTTGCGGTGCAGCCGTGGGCTTCTCTGGCTGCTCTAGTTGCCGTGACCCTTCGTCTTGAGCATAGTCGTGATTCTCGACCGGTGAGGACTCCCTGGCAAGTCGGTTTATGAACGAGTTTCGTTTGGAGAATTTCGACCCTGTTTTCGGCATAGGAGACGGAGGTTTAGTGTCTGGTGTTGGAATAGAAGCCGGTACGAGAGGTTGGATGAGACTTGCTGGCATGACCTGAAGAACACAATCTGAACGATTCGGTCATCTAGACTCTTTGTAGGATCACTTACTCCTTGGTAGAATTTGTCTGGAGAAAGAACGACCGGTCCGTCTAAAACTCGTCCAAAATACGGTTTTTTGCTCTCAGGGTCGGCACCCTCATGCACTTTGACAAAGTTGTGCGGAAACTGTCGAGAAGGCACCGGAGAATCAGCAGCTGAAATTGAAATATTACCTAGAGGCTACTGACAATTTTCGGCTAAAAAACCTCAAAGGGGACATTTCGAGGCAAATTAGCTCTGCTTTTGTAAAGGAGAACCGGACTTTCACTTCCTCGCTCACAAACCAGAAAGGAAGGACGGTTAAAGTAAAAATGGCTTCCTACGTGATTGGACTAATCTCTAGCAGTGGGCTCTTATCGGCAAAACCTTGACTCTTGCGAAGATCCAAATTTAGGATGTTTGTTTTTTGAAGAAAGGTGCTCGGTTCTTTTTGGAGGAGTCAAGAAGAATTAATTTTCTTAGGGAAAGTAGATTAGCTGCTAGCCGACAGAAACGCATAAACAAAAGGAAAGATAAGAGAAAAATATGTATTTGATCCCTATTTTGTTGATTGCGAAGCTCATAGACCATTAGCCAGCAAGGGTGGTGGACCAACAGATCATTTTACGAAAGTAAATGTAATAAAATAAAGCGATAAAATTCAGTGATTGAGAGTCTGGAGAGCCCTTGCGATTTAATCGCTAAGCGCCACACTTCGCTATTATTGGACCCAAATTTCATAGAGAATTCAAAGCAGAAATAATGTGGGCTGGAGAGCCTCATAGGAGGAAAAACGTTGTAGTCAGCGGTCCCTTTTGATAATGTTATCATTCAATTCAGAATACTGACGCTCACCTTCCGCCCGGTTAGGACCCCTCGACGACTCTGGCGCTTTCATTTCCAGCTGAGACGTGATATGGCGACGAAGATCAGCAACACTTCTCCTGTCTGGTACCTGCAAAAGCACATAAACAGCTGTTTCACTGAGTGTCTGCAAGGGAATCAATAGAGTAAAACATCACGAACCATACATTCAGGAGCCAATCACAGAACTCATTTTAAAATGCTTATGATTTATAGCAAGGGATTCTTCCAGCGGACCCTACTACTGGGCGGGATTAACGGCTAGGTAGAAAAAGAGTACTAGTAAAAAGCTCTATAAGCAGCATCGTGCTAATTGAGAGTACACATGAAACCTATCTACTTGTTGTTTTCAAAATTCCAGGAATTACACTTCTTCCTGACGAGATATCGTTGACACTTACCAACGATTATAATCAGTAGCGGTCAGAAGTGCGCGCAGAAACGTTTTCCGTTCTTCTCTTCTTTTTTGCCAGAAAAAAAAACAATGTTGCCTCTAAGATCTTTTGGACAACCTGATTCTTTAAGGCCTGAGGGGATTTTAACGCTAAAAAACATAGTATGTCAACCTTCAGAGGGCGTTGCTCAGGCGGGAAAAAAATAGGCACTAAACTCTGTTCTCGGCAAAACTGATATAGTCGCTTAGAGGCTGACAAATTATGCCTGGATGATCACAAGTTTATGCCTTGAGAAAGAAGGGCGAGGATGGGAAATCCTTTTCCTTATCTCTGTTATTTTTTGGTTGCTTCCTTCTTTTCGAGTGCTATCACAGGAGAGCGCTGAATTCTGAGCGCATACGACTGAATTCTAGTGGGTTTATAGTGCATCGTGTGCTCCACCTAGCAAGGTAAAAAGTTACTCAAGTTGAATTTTTGATGAATGTTTTTGGTAAGTGACATCACGTGAATAACTCCACATTTATAACCAGGGAAAGGTGATCGCTGCGGAAAATCTAGCCGAATGAAACTGATATCAATTTTGGAGAGATGAAGGCGCACAGGTGGCGATCGAAATAGGTGTGTTGTTTTATTAAAAACTAGACAAGATGTGCGAAGAAGAATGCTAGTGGGGAAAACGCAGAAAGCGGCTATAGAAAACAATGCGATTCTTTTTGTGAGGTCGACCGTGACACGATGAAGAGACACAGCGGTGGGAGGAGACGGGAAACGGGAGAGCACGTCCTGGAAGAGATGGCACAGCCCCGGGGGAAACGGGAGAGCACGTCCTGGAAGAGATGGCACAAATGGCACATATGCTGCTAGTGATAAGAGTGGCAGCAGTCGCAGCGGCCACGCAAAGGCATTAGCTTTCTTGCAGCACTCCTTCAAGTTGTGACAATACCATTACCACTGTGTTTAGGAAGAGCCACAGCGAGAGAAATTTTCCAAGGATCTATTCGCGACCCGTTGCTTCAACAAGAAACCCTGAAGACCGTTCCACTATTCTGAGCGGAAACATTGATGAAATAATCTAGATTCAAGTACAATAGAGGAAAGTAGGAGTTCGATCAAAAGCCGCAACCAAGTGTGAGTACGGGGGCGCATTGTAAGTTAAGCACAGACCTGGATCCGATTCTTGGCTGAGGTTTTGTTTTTCACCAAAAGTCAGCACTTCTTTAAGGGAATTAAACTATAGGTGATTACGCTTCGTTCTGCCCACTTTTATTGAACCTACTTCTGATTTTTGAGGGGATTGTAAATCAAAAGTATGGAACGAAGGTCTTCTCAAAGCACTGATAAAGGAGCTGTAAATACTCAAAAAAAACTCCAAAAGGCTTAAGTACACTGATAAGCAGCTATTGCCTTTTGATCGTTCTCTGCCGGCCTCATACGCTGGTAAAGGTATAGCTTTTCAACGATTCTTTAATCATAGCAGAGTAATTTTAGCTTTGAAGGTAAACACGGGGAGCGTCAACAGCTAGCATTCTGAATAAGGTTTAGTGTTTTTATTACGCTTAAAGGTAGAACTACAGCTAGAGGCCAGCCAATTCGAATCGAGGTAGAGGTGGTCACTAGGTGCCGGGATGAAGACAACTATGGGGAACGGCCCAGAACCCGAGTGGAACCTTTCCTTGTCCTTGATTTCCGCATGATGCGACTCTCATCGGTGCTGCCCTCTTCAACGCTAACGCTCTCTCTCTCTCTCTGCTAACGGCTAGAGACCTGCGGCGAGTGGTTAGCCAGTCGGTGGGCGTGCCGCGCCGATAGCGCCGCGGGGAGGGCCATGCTAGATCGCCGGGGCATATCCTTCGCTGCGAATTGCGTGTCGGTCCGCACCCTTAGGGGTCCGCCTGTCTTTCCACAAGGTAAGTCCCCTTCCCTCGTTCTTGGATCTTATCGTGGAATCCTCCTTCAAATTATAAGAAGGTTTCTAATAATGGAACGGCCAGGCTTATGAAAGCTTCTTTGCTCTTGGTTGTTGAACTGCTCTAAGAAAAACAGAATTAAATTTTTGCATGACAACCAGTGAATATACGCTTCCGTGACATGTTACTACCAAGTTCCATAGCCCGATGGAACGCAACCGTACATAGAAGGAACTACTGCAATACAGTATTGAAAGCAAATCAAAGGAACCGCTGTGAGGGCTACAGAGGCGTTAATAAGTTATGTTAGCTCATCTCTCGTCCTTCAGTTTGGCACACCAGTGTAGTTGTCGTAGTCTAATACGAATGCTATAGGTAGGTGTGCTCGGTTCGGTTCCCCGGGGAATGTCTCGGCCTAGACAAGGACATCTTGGTGACAGAAATAGGTCCGGCCAGCTAAAATATTCATGCGTTACTAACAGAGAACACTAGCCTGAAGAGCTCTTAAAATGCAAATTTTCCAGCCAAGGCGGCAATCGATAGCTATGCTTTACTAGACTTACATGCTAAAGCAGTGCTATTTAAATTCGAAAATGTGGAGCCTTCGAAGGTGCAGAACCTTTGGAAAAGGAGTAGGCTTTCAAGATGATTCGGTGCGACATAAAGAACTCTTAAGATAAGCCACACTTGGAGAGCGAGCAAGAGGAAATTAGGATGAGATTGAAGAGGTCCTAGACGTTTTTTGTTGGGTGATGCAAATGTGACGCTCACACAGCTACGAGGTCTGTCCTCTTAGGCACACGGAAACGGCATCGAACTATTTTCCCGGGATGTTGGCATGCGCCGCCGTGAATATCATTCATTAGAAATTTACCGTTAGAATGGCTTGAATAGATTCGCATCGATTGATGTCGCGTTTTTCGTGCCGAATTAATTCCAGAAAGCTGATGGCTTGGTGATGAAACATGTAAATCAAAAATTGATTACACTGTTCTTCCTCAAAAATGGAGGAAAACCCGTTCGGTGAGCATTCCTGCACGAATATGCTCACTATACATCGGCAATATGGGTACGCTTTTTCGGGTGTTATTAGTAAACAAATACCATGTCCTATTCCACCCACACCACTGAGTTCTCTCGCCAGAACGTTTGCTGTGGTCGTTCTCACGAGGAAGGATAAAAACACTTAATTATGCAAGCTAGAACAAAAAATCCGGTGGGGTTATGCGGCGAAACTCTTTGTTCACGACGGTGGGAAATCCGGAACCGCATCACTCTCGCCTCCAAGCAGATAGTATAGACAGTACAGCCAAGCAATAAAAAGCCAAGTTAAAACCAAATCATTGCGGCGGCTAGTTCTATAAGTCTGTATAGGCCTCAAAATATAGTTGTGGTCAAAAAGCAAACGAAGATGTTGAATAGACAGCCGGTAAAAGTTGGCGATTCAATAGGCCGACCAATCATTGTGGGAGCGATTTTCGGTTTTCCGAGGCTTCTGCTGAGATTTTATGAATTGATGAGTGGTTTATCAAAGTGGAACCCGGGAGCTATCAATAAAGAACTGCGGTGTTAGCTGCTTTGTAATTTGAAGAGAAAACGAGCAAGGCGAAAAAATTCGATAGTCGAATATCAAATTCACAGCACCACTTGCATCCAAAAGCACATGCAAAGATAAATGTTGAAGACTGGTGGGCTGGTAAATGAGCAAGCCAGCAGAGGAGGGAATGATTTATAGAGGTCTCAAGACGAAAAAGAGAGGACTCCGAGAAAAGATGCCAGTTCTTGGCCAAAAAACTCAACGTTGGGATGTTTCGACCTCAACTCAATCGAGGACACTGATTAGGAGAGAACACACAGGGTCAGTACGAAAGCTCATTAGCGGTTGTGATGCGAGTGACGGCTGATGCGTGACGACCTTCATCCCCTCGTAATGCGGCCCCATTCGGACCATTAATTTTCGAACGGTGGAATTACAATGGTGCCACGAGTCATTCATGGCAACAGTCACTGAGTTGGACAGCGAACTTCACAACGCTCGAGAAAATGCTCACCACGGTCTCGCTTCTCGGCCCGTCCTCCGACGACATCGTCGTCTGCCGCACCGGTATCCTCGACACTGAAATGCAGCGGATCTACAAAGGCGATTCCCAAGTAACATAAAATTGGATCAAATAAAGCAAAAATCATGGGAGAATAATTAAAAAATATGGTCAGTGAAAGATCAAGAGAAACCAACATTTATTGTTAGGACTGAGTGGTGGAGTCCATTCAATTAATTTGAGAATGAATTTCATAATGGAGAACTCAGCAGTTGACCCTCTAAATCTTACCTGTAGGACCCAGTTCCTAGGGAGGGGAGACGGATTATGCTTTGCTGAAAGAAGAGCCATATGAAGATCATCCGAGAAAAATAAGGGGTGCTCTTCGCCTCCCAGAAGGTGATTTTGAAATGCGAGAGATTTTCACAAGTGACACGATGGCCAGGGCTAAATGTGTGGTCATGAGCGGATGGACGACTGCGCCCCTCGAAGGCTGTGTAATGGACGCATAGATTACACGCTTTTATGATGTACTGAGAAGCGAAATCGAAAAACGGAAGCCGCTAAGTTGAGCTTTCTGTTCGAGCGAAGACGAGCGGGCGTTGCCCAGGGAAAACATCGCGAAGGTGCTGATCTACGTTGAGCACATGTTGTTATTCTAATCCGCTTAAGCAAAAGTGTCGCAATGAAGGATCGGCTGTAAGAATAGAACGGAAGCGAACGTAATAACTTCGTATAGCATACATTATACGCCTAACCCATGCCGGGAATATATTTGTTTCACTGGTCAGCAGGCCAGGACCAACGCACAGCACCGTCAAACAGAAAGCACGCAGCTTGATGAGCTTTTTTTGCACAACAAAAAGTGGACACTTTTCTTAGGTTCAAGCTTCCTGGCTTTTCATCTGATTTATTCAAGTTATGTTTTTTTTTGTCAACTATGATCGCGACGCAGTAACCTGTGGCGCTGGGGGGGGGGGGGAGGAATCTGTGAGTAGGCCACTGGACTAACGGAGAGGGACGAAATCCACATAGAATGAGAATTGCTCAGGCACTAGGGTCCCTATTCTCTTTTGAGCTTATTGTTAGTGCTAAATAAAGTGAGTGTCGCCTGTCGCCATGAATCTGACGTAATGTTAGGAGCTGCCACATCCACCCCCCCCCCCCTGAGCCACATCGCGCTGCTGACCACAATAGGAAACTAAACCTCACTTAGTGGTAATCACCTAGTAAAAGGGTATTATTTGAGCGATTTTTGTAGAAGTGTTTAAATAAATAGGTGAAATTATGTCATGCTCCAACAATGATGCCAAAATTTGTTGAATCGATGAACAGTCTTTTCAACACTCACTTGACTGGAAACACTTTTCACTTAAATTGGTAATGAATTATCGTAAAAACCTATCAAAATATCAATTTTGAATATAAGAATATCAAGATAGGCAAAACAGCAAGCAAAGCAAGCAGTTATCAATATAAGTCAAGTGAACATAACCTTGCGGGTATAGAATTTTTAACGATCGACTGAACTCTCGGACCAACTCGGGCGTTGTCGCAGCTCGGGAAATCCGTTCTCTCAACCAATTTTTACTGTGATACCTACTACTCCCCATTTAAATATTTCGAAGGACGCTTCTCGCTTAGATGTGAACGTGATGATACATCCCTGAGTGGAATCTTCTCAGCTCAAGGGCATCGCATCACTGAAACAATGTCATCTCCCTGCCCTCGTTCAACCAATATTCCTGGATTTTTGATTTTTTCAATATCAATTGCACTTCGGCATGCTGGTGAGGTCGCCAGGCTCAAAGATTAATTGCCGCTGGTACCTGACAGGAGGGCCGTCGCGAGGCAAGAAGCAGAGTCGCAACGCGTAGTGTGGTTTTTGGGTCATGTAACGGAATGAGCCATTGTACGTCCGACATCGCATAGCATGGCAGTGCGACTCGTCCGATGACTTTGTCTTCTTGCCGCGCAACGGGCCTCCTGTCGGTTCCCCAATTGCCGCAAATTTGTTCGCAAACATCAAGACGCAAAGCGGTCCATCATAATCCACTGCTCATCTTACTCACTCCATACTTCTCCAGCAGAAGCCTGGACCTTTTGTTCCGTTGCAATAGTGTTTCGGCGAAGGAAAGGCATGGATCGTAAATGCGTATGTCACTGCTTCGACTTTGAGGGAGGTTTCCTTTTGCCCTTTCCACCCCACACTTCCGACGGCTCTAATTCTTTGTGTCCGTAACTTGCTGCCAGTCTGTGGTCCGTACTTGGTCGCGTATTAAGGTCTAGGATAAGAAAAACTGATTTTAGCTTGGACTTATTCTTGAAAATATTAAGTTGCTAGGCAAAAATGCATCCAACTGAGTATTCGAAACGGAAAAGACGTCAAATGCGCGGTGTAAAAGAAGTTTGACAATACTCACACTACTTCATCGTTCAAAATGTTTTTATCGCGGACGTCGGCAACCCTTAGCTAAGTGGCCAGCCGGCTAAGAATGGAATCTTCGGACAAACCTCGCAGCTGTTACACAACCGCTTTCTTACACTTGGCGAGCACTACTCGAGCGCTCTGATTATTTATTTCCGGAAGAACTGTGCGATAGCAGAACGCAGCAAGATCGATCAAAAGCTTACCTCCTCTCAGGTTTTCAGCGATCGTGATGTCTTCGAGTTCACCGACTGCTATTAAGCTGAAATAAACAAATATCACGAAGTCTAATTTTTCAGTAGCAGTGAAAATCTGACAATTATTCAATCGCGTAGGCTTCGCCGTAGTTCTATCTCCATCGAAACAAATTTGATTACTTTTCATCAGCAATGCTTTCATCAAGATAGATTCGCCCTGCACCTCAAACTTTTTTCAAGGCAGCTGTCATGATTTCTTTGAATGCCGATAATCACTAAAATTTGGGCGACTTCTACCAAACTGAAGAAACTTACGCCAGTTTCGTCATCCATAATGCACTGAATAGAGAAACAGGAGCTAAAAGTACTTTTTACATACAACGTCGGCCTACTCATAGGCCACGCCTCACGCCTCTTTCTTTCTGAGCGACGCTAAAAAAATAATGACGGTGATGAAAGGCAAGAAGTTGCGGCATGAGTTCGTCCTTTTCGGGATGCGCCACGCACTTCTTCTTTCATTCAGAATAGCAGTGGTAATAGAATACCATCACACCGACGAAATGAGTAGCGGTGAACAGCTATTGCACAAAGCGTCTTTTTTATTTTTTATACGAGATTTGAACTCAACTGAGGGGGAAAAGTTTGATTGACTTGGGTGGAATTTAGTCTGAAGTCCGAGCTGCAACAGTAAGGTAGCAAACGATTCCGCATGTCAACATAACACCGGTCACAACAACGATCCTCATGGTGCAAGTAGCAGCACAGCAGGGGGATAGGGCAACGGCATTGCGATACCTAGTGGCAGTACGCATGCTTCGGGTATCAAGCAGGGTCAAACATGGCGTCTGATCCATTTCCCTTCCCCTTCTCCCTCACCTCCGATTACCACTGGTATCCCTAATGCC